TACTCCCTGCATTCATAAATGTAAGTACGGAAGAACAGCCTTGGAGTCAGACTGCGTGAGTTTAAATCTTGGCACCACCCCTTGCCAGCTATGGCCATGAGCAAGGTACTAACTTCACTGGTTCTCTCCACATCTAAACACACAAAACGGAGGGAATAGTATCCACTGCATAAGATAGTTTAAAGGATGAAATGAGAGAAGCACAGTTCCTGGGACACAGAAGTGCCTAATAAATATTGGTAATTATTCATTTTATTATTCTGATATATACCCCCCGCCCGGCCATTATCTCTTGGAAAAACACTAGATCATAGATAGGTTCACTTCTTTCCATGAAAAGATATGGCGGTAAGTGAAGATTAGGCAATCAAATGCATTCTTTTCCCTAAGGGTTAAATGAGAAGATAAAATTGGCTCTTAAGTCTGGATTTTTTTTTTTTTTTTTTTTTTTTGACCCTTCTTCAAGCTTTGTTTCTTTTCTTGCTTTTTTCTTCCCATGTCTATGTATTCCCTAAGCTCCCGGGGGCCTGGCTTAGCCATGGGCACCACTGGCTCCACGAGACAGTTCTCTCTGGTCTGAAATACTTCTGTGGTGTGGACAGGACATTTAACCTTGCGAGGCCGCACTTCCACATTGTGTTACAGAAGAAGAGTACAGTGGTGGAGATTATCTTTAAATTCTCTCCCAAATCTAAAAATCCACAAATGGGGGGCACCTGGCTGGCTCAGTTGGTAGAGCATGCGACTCTTGATCTCAGGATTGTGAGTTACAAGTAAGTAACTGATAATTTATTAGTGTATTCAAGTCAAACACTGACTTAAATTCTACTAGAAAGTCTATTTAAATCATACTTGGAAAATCATACAAATATGGACACAAGTACCACAGACTCTAAAAGCTGGATTCTTCCTGGTCTTAGTTTCAGAGAACAACGCAGGAACACCCTGAAGCTTTTATTCAACTCCCTTATCACAATGAACCCGGCTCTTGCTAAATCAGAACTTTCCCTTAGGATCATCTAATGGTCCTCTATCTACAGCTTCTTCCTGGCACAGACAATAAGCATTTCTAATCATTATAAATACCAAACCAGTGCTTACAATTTCAAGGTAACTGACCAGAGAACTGGCAGTCCTGAACAATCAGAACTGATACTCAGCACCAGAGAAGGTGATGAAGTAGAAATCCATTAAAAATCACTCTGCCTTTTTTTTTTTTTTTTTTTTTTTTTTGGCTCTTTGTACTACCTAACATCTCCCCATCACAGTATTTCTGTTGTGGAAAATGGGTCTAATTTTTTTTTTTTTTTTACGTTTATTTATTTTTGAGAGAGAGGGAGACAGAGTGCAAGCAGGGGAGGGGCAGAGAGAGAGGGAGACAGAGAATCCGATGCAGGCTCCAGCCTGTCAGCACAGAGCCTGACGTAGGGCTCGAACCCACAAACTGCAAATCATGACCTAAGCCAAAGTTGGACACTTAACCAACTGAGTCACCCAAGCATCCTATTGGATCTAATTGAAAATGACATTACAGGTTAACAACTGACGTGGAAAGACATTTACAATATAGATCTCTGGTGAAAAGGCAGATTACAAAATAATATGATTAGCAATATTAATCCCACTTTGGAAAAGACATATGCAGACACCTACACACATATCTGACAGGGTACACTTCACGTTGCTTATAACTTTCCTTTAAAAAATTCTTTGTCAGGGCGCCTGGGTGGCTCAGTCGGTTGGGCATCCGACTCCGGCTCAGGTCATGATCTCACGGTCCGTGAGTTCGAGCCCCGTGTCGGGCTCTGTGCTGACAGCTCAGAGCCTGGAGCCTGTTTCAGATTCTGTGTCTCCCTCTCTCTCTGACCTTCCCCCATTTATGCTCTGTCTCTCTCTGTCTCAAAAATGAATAAACGTTAAAAAAAATTTTTTTTAAATAAATAAAAAATTCTTTGTCTATCTTTTATTATTTTTCTATAATGAACTACAGCTTCTCCTTTATTTACCAAGAAAAGCGGATCTGGCTCCCAAACCATAACCAAATGCCTCCTTGAAGGGGAGATCAGCACCCCGGGATCCCCTTGTACAGAGGCACAATTTCCTTTGCACCGTCTGTCTGGGACTCAGCTGGGGCAGTGATGCTGAGATGTTTCTAGGTACCAGCCATCAGGTACCACCAAGAATGATCCAGTCCTCTCTCTCCTATTCACCTCAATTTCCAGAGCCACTGGCTTCCCACTTACAAGCTTTACTGATTTATAACTCTCCGGGCAGAGTTTACAAAACATGACCAAAGGTCCTAAACTACAGTTCAGGATTTTATTTATTTATTTATTTATTTATTTTATTTATTTTTGGGACAGAGAGAGACAGAGCATGAACGGGGGAGGGGCAGAGACAGAGGGAGACACAGAATCGGAAACAGGCTCCAGGCTCCGAGCCATCAGCCCAGAGCCTGACGCGGGGCTCGAATTCACGGACCGCGAGATCGTGACCTGGCTGAAGTCGGACGCTTAACCGACTGCGCCACCCAGGCGCCCCTACAGTTCAGGATTTTAACATTCACGTTCACTGACTTAGAATCAATGACAGAAGAACCCAAGTTAACTCTGGCAGAGGTCCACGTGGAAACTAACTACTATTCTTCATTTTAAGCTGTTCAATGTCAATCTTAGCACAAAAAAACATATAAGCCATCATGTTTAAAAGCATCATCTTCAAATACTTTATCCAGTTAAGTACTTCTGTTTTTTGCACAAAGTGCTGACTCTTGACAGACTCTTTAGCATACTGAAGAAAGCCACTCTTGAACCTTCCAAGATCTAATCAGCCAAGAACAAGTTCATTACCAGGCACAGGTATCATTACATCATAAGGTGTGAAGATTGTTCTGGCAGCTCAGTGACCTACCAGCAAAAAGATACCTAAGAAACCTGCAAATTCCCAGCTAACAAAAGCAAACCGCATACAAAGAAATGTGATAGGAAGACATACACCAAAGCAGTAAAGATGAGGGCAATATGAAGGAAAGCAGTAGAAAAAGAATGGCAGTCCAGAAAAGTGTTGTGAGGGACGACTCCTACTGAGTGAACCAACAGAAGGTTACCAGGTTCAGTACTTTCAGAGGTACATAAGCTATGCCTCAAAGCTGCTCACATGAATTTCCAATAATAGGATATCTAGCAAAAGCTATACACTTAAACAAATTGGTTTCTCACTCCCTCATACCTTTATCTTTTAAAAACCATAAGCAATTTAGGTCAGAGCCCTTCCCTCTGTTAAAAAAAATTTTTTGAGACAGATTACAACAAAGAAACATAGTATCTACACAGCATTATTTTATGGCAAGAAAACAAAACTGCCAACTAGGAGGATCTGAAAAATGTGACCATTTGGGGGCTGAACCACTCCCCTTCCCTAATTATCCCTCAAAGGAAATATATCAGGCACTGTGGGCAAAGAGGGAAAACATGTCTAACTACAACATGTGCACTTGGTGGATGAAAAATCTGAACATTCTTGAACTCTGGCCACATTTCAGACTTTCCATGTGTAGTTCAATCTCACTGAAGAGGAAAGGTTAAAGATCAAATCAATCATAAAAGACAAAGAGAAACTGACATTACTTACTCATGATACGAGGGAAACCTATTGAAAATTCAAGATGACCCTGACTCCTTCATCAAGCATCAAAGGAGGAAGTGGTTTTTATTTTCAATTAGGATTAAAAATAAGACCCATTTCAAGAGTATTCTCCATTTTGAGGAAACACACACATTGTGAATTTGAAGATGCATGTGCAAAGGCTTCAGGCCCCAGGTGGTTTTATGGAAGCAGTCCTTGATCAAGACCTCTCATCCACAGCCCACCTGCCTGTGCTTTACAGGGGTAGGAAGACAGCTGAAGACCAGAGGGTTGATAGTGCTCGTGCACATGCTGATTAAAGTGCTGGGCAGAGGAGTAGGAAAAACCTTCAGAAATCCAAAATGAGAACACATCTCATTAGGCATTTGGATTGGGAACTCAAGAAGTCCTCAGCATGGCCAACAAGCTGTAACCTCTCTAACCTGGTTTCCTGGGACTCTTCCCCCTCACCTACTAGGCTTCCTCAGGGCTGACTTCCTTGATGAGCCTCCAACACTCCAGAGCATTCCCTCTACTAGCACTACTCTTCCCTCAGACCCCAACATCCTTCAAGTCTGCTCAAATGCCACTGTGACATGGAGGAAAATGGTGCCTTTTCTTTTTCCCATGATACTTTTCACCTTCTAATATAACCATATAATTTACTTATATTTACTCTATTTGTTGTTTACTCTGATCTCCATCAAATACGCTCCAGGAGAGCGGAGATCTGTTTTGTTCAGAATAGTGCAGGAGGTCAAAAAATATTTTATGAATGAATGAACTTAAGAGTAAAACTCCAGCAGGAAAGCAAGTGGGGGTGAGATGAAAGGGGGAAGAAATGACAGAGGGGAATTCACAAGGGAAAGAACTGTGCTGCTTGCAGATGGGAGGCGGGAGGCAGTGCACGGTATCCCGCCGGCGGCATCAAACAGCCCTCTTAGAAGCAGGCAGCTCTGAAGACTCAACTGAGAAATTCCAAGGGCAGACCCACCCAGACGGCGGGCTCCGGGTAGGTCCCCACGGGAGCCCGGAGCGTCCAGCCCTTCCCCTCCCGCGCGGTGCCCAGAACCCCAGCTCCTCGCCAAGGTAGGCAGGGGGGTCCCGGGCCGCAGCACCTTCCCGGCTCAGGCCCCTTCACCTGGTCGCCAGCGACCGGGCCCTGCGCTCCGGCACCTGCCGGCCCGCGCCGGAGGTCCCCACCTCAGCCCGCGACAGATCTCAGCGCACCCCCGAGGGCCTCACCCCGCCCGGCTCTCCTCCCGCACCCGCACAGGAAGCCCCCGCGGCCCTCCTCCGCAGCGGGGAGGGGGCTCCCGGCGCCCCTAACCCCGGCAGCTCCAGCCTGACGCCCCGCCCGCGCGGAGCCCCCTCACCTCTGGGCGCACGTACGACACGAAGGAGGGCTTGGGCGCCTTGGTGCCGCCGCCACCGCCGACTACCCCTTTCCCCAGCATACCGCCGCCCTAGGAAGCAGCGACGCGCGGGAGCAGAGGCGGCCGCTCGGGCTCCGGCAGCGGCGGCGGCCACCAGCACTGGCGGCTGGGGCTCCGCCCATCCCCAGGGCCGCTGCGGCCCCGGCGACGCCCGCATCCGGCTCCGCCGCTGACACCGCTCGCCCCGCCCACTCCGCGCGCGAGCCTAGGGAGTCGGGAACCCGCAGCCGGAGACCACGCCCCCTCCGCTCGCGGCGGGCGGGTCTGTCGGGCGCAGATTCGCCTTCAGAGATAGGCTCCACTCCGGCAGAACCCGCCTCATGCGTTCTGTGATTGGCCAGAAGGCACTACCGGCCGGAGTCCCACGCCAAGCTACTCCTTGAATGAACCTGGAGAGATGTTTCCTCAGACCAATCCAGAGAGCGTTCTCTCCGGACTCCCCGGCGATTGGATAGCAAGAATGTCGCTGTCGTCCAATGATCCTACGGTCACTAAGTTGAGAGCAGTTGTTCTTTGCCTTCGTTCTCTTCTTGCTTGCAGTCTTGATGTAAAACTTCCAAGAGTGTGGTGTATCGAAATCCCCCGTATGAGTTCCAGATACACATCGATGACGTCCAGGTTTATTACTTTGAATGTAGACAAAGATGAGACAATTCAAGTGTTAACAGGCACTTAGGAATAGGTTTGAATGTTTCATCATAAAAGGCCTTGTCAACCTCATTTTTCCACTTGTTTTTGTTTGTGTATCTTTTTTTAATATTCATTTATTTTTGAGAGAGAGAGAGTGTGAGTGGGAGAGAGGCACAGAGAGAGGGAGACAGAGGATCCCAAGCAGGCTGTGGGCTGACAGCAGAGAGCCCCATATGGGGGCTCAGACTCACAAACCATGAGATCATGGCCTGAGCCCAAGTCCACCGCTTAACCAACTGAGTCACCCAGGCGCCCCTGTTTCTTTGTGTTTCTAACAATACAAAAGCCCTTAAGAGACTTATTTTATCCACTCTCCGAAGTTATCAATAAAATCCTCATTTTTAGTGCAAATTGCAAAGAAAATCCATTTTCATTTCACATTTGGTGCTAAGCATTATGCTAGACACAAATGAATAAAACAGGGCCCCGCTGTCAAGAAATTTAGTATGAGGGGCGCCTGGGTGGCGCAGTCGGTTAAGCGTCCGAC